CCTTAGTATGGGGTAATGCAGGATTTATATCATCAACCGTAGGATCCATCCGAAACCCTCAACCCTAAACCCCTAAACCCAAACCCTAAACCCCTAAACCCTAAACCCCTAAACCCTAAACCCTTACACCCTCAACAACCCGAACCCCTAAACCCAAACAAAAACCTGAACCCCTCTTTCGCAGTAGCGGGCCCAAAGGTCCGGAGCACCTTTTTGCACACCCCAAAATACGTGGGCACGCAGTGCGCGAGCGGCAGGGAGAAGGTCAAATCCTCACCCCTTCTGTACGACACCCCGATGCAATCTTTGCAGAACCCGTGTAGAACTGCTACAGAACCCTAGAGAGCAAATCCCCTACTGAGCCCGTGAGCCCCTAAACCACTTTGAATCAAGGAATTTCGAGGCATTGTGCAAACCTGAGGCCGTGGCACGTCCGTACGTCATGTGGCCTAGGCGGTTTAGGGTGAGGTTTATTAGGAGCTCAGGATTCTGGGTCCGAGGGCTTGGCTTGCAGGTCTAAAGTTCTGGGCTTGGTTTAGTGATTTTATTCAGGGCTTCGATTTATCCATGGGGTCGGGAGCTGTTGCGCGAGGGCACCGGCGGGAGCGCAACTTCCTGACCATCCAAAAATTCAGGATTTCAGGCTTAGGGGCGAAGGTTTAGGGTCAGGGATCCGATTTGGGGCTGAGGGTTTAAGTTTTAAGTTTAGGACCTAGTTAAGGGCTTTAGTGTTCAGGGCTCCTCTGGAGCGCTCAGGGTGTAGGGGTATAGGGTTTGCAGGGCTTTGGGCTCAGGATTTTTGTTGCCTTCATGGTCTTTGTTGAGAGCCTCATGGTTCCGGCATGTTTTCCTGTCCAGGTCTCAGCGGTGGGACACGCTCCTCTCGAAGGAAGATCTACCTAGGACTAGGACCCCATCCCTGGGCCCCTGAACCACGAAGCCAAGCCCTGCACTCGCTGAACCACTAGGACAAGGCCATAAGTCCCGTACTCAACACAAGATTCCCCCAAGATAAACATGAAACACAAAGCCTGCCTGCCCCTTTATTCAACCCAAAATCATTTTTTTGAACCCAGGCTCAAATCCTGCACCAGCTGGGAATCGGACCCTAAACTCTAAACCCTAAACCCTACACTTTACACCCTTAACCTGCCCTTAACCCTCAACCCAAACCGTCACCCCAAAGCCCCCTGAACTCTCAAAGACCCTGTTGGCTGGGAATCCGGCTCAGCAATCCCAGTGCCTCGGAAGTCCCGGGATGCTAAGGGGCTTTTAGGGCTTATGGTTCAGGGTTCACTGCGTACAGCTGCTGTTCAGGGTTTAGGGTTCAGGTTTCAGGGCTCAGGGTTTAGGATTTCTTGAGGGTTTAGGATTAAGGCTCAAGGTTAAGGATTTAGGGTCTAGGGAGCTTTCCGTATATGTGAATATGACGTCTAGTGCCTTAGAGAACCCCAATATAGGGCCCTGATGGAATCCCTTATAAAAACCCCTTGTGGGACCCGCGCGATCGGACGCCTTGTTTCAACCTTATCATTGAACCAAAGAAGAATCCGAAGCCCGGGCGTTGCGGAGCTCGTCCTCGCTGGCCGCTGTAGGGATGTCGATCTTGTTCCCCAAGACGACAAAGGGCCTGGGTGTCGGGTTCAGGGTTTTGCGTGTGGGTCTACGGGTTCAGGTTTAGAGTCTAGGGTTTAGGGTTTAGATTTTTTTTGACACCTTTAGAGTTGAGGGTTTAAGGCTTAGGGTTTAGGGTTTAGGGTTTTTCGGGTTCAGGCTTCAGGGTTTAGGGTTTAGGGCCCAGAGCCGAGGGCTGAAGGCTTCATTGATTGAGTTTGGGGTCTCATGAGGTTGGGGTGTCACAAGACGACAACAGCGCCGTCAGGGCGTGCAAACGGTTTCTGAGGGATCCCAGCGGATTTTGAGTTTAGGGGTTTGGGGTTTAGGGTTTAGGGTCTAAGGTTTAGGGGCGTTGGGGCTTGGAGTGCTAATGTTGATCAAGTTAGATTGGGAGTTGAGGGCTCAGGGCGGGGCTCAAAATGGAATGGCTTGTTCAATGGCGCCCTGGGGGTATGCGATGATAGAATGAAACGTGAAAGCTGGGGAAAAGGCGGTTAAGGTTCACGGGGAGTCCAGGGACGAAGGTTCGGGAGTCAGAAGTTAGGGTTGAGTGTTTAGGGTTTAGGGGTTGAGGGTTTGGGTTTGGGGTTGAGAGGCTTACAGGGGAGGCAAGAGTCGCTTGAGTAGAGGAAGCTGGCTCGGTATTTTGTGAGAGAAATAGCCAGAAATCAGCGTGAACAACCCGACCGGCCTCTCTTCTCGGGCAGCAGCAGGCCCAAATTGACACAGGGGGATGTCTTGGGAATGTTGACTGGTTTAATTCCCGCTCTCTGCTACCGTACGTCAAGCTGTCGGCGAAACTATATGTAAGCATCGTGACACGGACTACTTCTACTACAGGTCGCTCCCATAACAAATCAAGTTCCTAGGCTTAGGGTTTGGAGTTTGGCCAAACCTCATGCGCAGAACATTTTGGGCCTGCCAGACATTCTCTGTACGCTGTACATGTGCGCGACATCCTGCGCATCACTGCAACAGTGCCCCGAAGATCAGACCATCAATTAGAATCTCTCGTCAATCGCTTGGCATCCTGGTAGATGGCCTCAAGGCATGGGGAACCTACGACGCACTGATGATCACCCGCGTTGTGCGCGTACATCGTAGTGCACTCAACCTCCCAGCCGTCAGGCGTTGTTATCTTCGCCAGGATCTCCTCCATCTTCGTGCCTTCCCTGCTGAGGCCTGGCAGTCGACTTGGGCCTGGAGTGCGCAGCAAGCCTTCTACCTCCTCCCAGCGAGTAGTGACTTTGACAGAAACATGCCTGCTACAGGGATATTCGCATAAGTCTAGCAATGCGATTACATAATCTAAATCGGTGCTCAAATAGCCCAGGCTGACAGTGCAACCACCGTCGCCTCCCGGCAAGTCAAAGAAGCCACTCAAATGTAAGATTGCCAGGGGAACTTTTGGCTTCGGACGATGAAAGGTGAAGTGAAACCAGTCCATTGGCGGGCATGGCCCACAGGTCTTGGAAACCTCCCAGCCCCCAAGGCCCAGGGCTCTGAGAGCGGGCGACTCCTCCCCCGCTACCTTCAAACGACCTGCAAACAGGTCCGGCACGTTTTGGGACATGGTTGGGGGAAGATCGAGTCTGCGTTTGGTCAACTCAAAGCTTTCGTTGCCATCCATGGCCGCGAAGGTCTCTGACAAGCTCCGAACGATGACCTGAGGCCTAGGCTCATGGTCCTGCCCAGCCTTCGCTTCTCGTGGCTCCGGTGTTGGCATACTTGCGTAAATCTCAAGTGTGGGGCCCCCAAACCAGTATTTAACCTTGCAACTCTCCATGTCTCCCTTAGCCCACAGGAAGCAGTTGCAGAGGTCCTCGTCCCGTCTAAGGAGCTCCTCCAACGTGAGCGTCTTCAGTTGCTCCAGGACCCAGAAGCCTTCACCTGCCTCGAGGCATCTGGGCCGGAACCTCTTCAGACTTCTGCAGCAGCGTAGAGCCTTCAAGGCTGCAGGGCCACTGAGCAGCTGGACAATGCGCGGCAACCACACCAGGCCAGAAAAACTCTCCATTCTCGGCGGCTGGGAAGCGGAGACTCTGTGGAGCGAAGAAGCCTTGAACCAAAGTGGCGGCTCAGGGAGGTTTGGGGATCCCCAGGACGACGAAGGGCCCGGAAGCATTGCTGGGGCGTAGCCACAAAAGCTGTAAAGGAACCATCAGCACGTCTTTTTGAAGAGTCTCGGAAATGTATCCTAGGCTCAGGATTACAAGAGCCAAACCATCCACTGTTATGTAAAGCTTTAACCATTGAAGCCCTCGATCCTCCTGCCTTGGGCGAAGCTCGAAGTGACATCTTTGCAACTGCCACGATCATCAATATTATCAGTACCGCTAAGCTCACTGCCACCAGCATTATGTGTGTATCTATATATGCACTATCTATCTATCTATCTATCTATCTATCTATCTATATCTATATATCTATATATCTATATATCTATATATCTATATATCTATATATCTATATATCTATATATCTATATATCTATATATCTATATATCTATATATCTATATATCTAAATATCTATATA